TATGTGTATATATATATATATATATATATATATATATTCCATACTTATTGAAAAACCGAGTAGTTTCTACTAGCGAAGAAACTGTAGTCGGAACCGAAGTTCAAAAGGTGGATACGATTAGAGGGAAGACATTTGGATTCCTAAAACGAGTAAAAACAAGAAATGATCGTTACCAAACCGAGAATTGATTTCCTCATACATTGTCGTTTTTGAAGGAGTTCAAGAAGAAAAGTAAAATTTTATTTACTTATAACAAATCAAAATTTGTATTATTATATGTTTTTAAATGATGATGATCTGTGTAATCGCTATATGTACGTATGGGTGGAGTATTTATACGATAAATACTTGTTTTTGAAACATAATTTTCCGCTACGTATAACCCGTACGGTACAGGCGAACCCAACATGTTGATCACTGTTGTTTCTTCTAGAAATATGATTCCAGCTATATCATATTGCTACTTTATGTCGATGACATGTTAGTAGCGGGATCAGATATGAAAGACATCAGAAATTTAAAGATGCAGTTGTCAAATGAATTTGACATGAAGGACTTAGGCCCAACAAAGAAGATTCTTGAAATGCAAATCACGAGAGATAAGCAAAAGGGAGTTTTGCAGTTATCTCAGGCAGAGTACATCAACCGTGTTTTGCAGAGATTTAACATGGACAAGGCTAAGCCAGTCAGTACACCTTTGGCTAGTCATTTTCGTCTATCCAAGGATCAGTCTCCTCAAACAAAGGAAGAAGAAGAGTTCATGGCTAAGATTCCTTATGCTTCAGCCATTAGAAGTTTGATGTACGCGAAGGTCTGTACGAGGCCAGACATTGGCCATGCAGTGGGAGTTGTGAGCAGGTTTATGTCAAAACCAGGAAAAGCTCATTGGGAAGCAGTCAAATGGATCTTGAGATATCTATGAGGCACAACTTAAAAGTGTCTGTATTTTAGAAAAAGAGATCGTGAAGTTGATCACCGAAGAGGCACCACCGGTTATGTTTTCACTGTCGGGGCTACAACTGTTAGTCGGATGTCGCGGATACAAAAGATTGTTGCTTTATCCACTACAGAGACGGAGTATGTAGCAGTGACAGAAGCCAGTAAAGAATTGATATGGCTTTAAGGATTGTTAGCAGAGTTGGGTTTCACTCAAAAAGAGAGTGTCTTGCACAGTGACAGTCAGAGTGCAATACATCTAGCAAAGAACTCAGTGTTTCACTCCAGAACTAAGCACATTGACATACGATATCATTTCATCAAATCACTTCTTGAGGATGAAGTGTTGACCTTGAAGAAGATTGTAGGAAGCAAGAACCCAACAGATATGCTAACGAATGTGGTGACCATTGACAAACTGAAGATGTGCTCAACTTCAGTTGGTCTGCTAGAGTAACAGACCGGAGAAGACTGCTGCAGTAATTGAGGTGTGAGGACAGATTGAAATCATTCCTCAAGTGGGAGATTGTTGAGTCAAAAGGTGGGGCTGCGCCTACTACTTTTGATCTTAGTCTTTGGAGATTTTTCATAGCAGCAAAAGAAGAAAATTGCAGGCTACTGTTTTTGAAAAAATTCAGTACGCAATTGTGGAAAAATTGGTACACCCCCCATCTATAAATAGATGAGAGTCTGATGAGCAAACCACAACAAACTACAATCAAACACAAAGAGAAATAGAGAAAAAGAGAGGGAGTAAAATTAGTCTTTGTGTGTATTTTGAGTTGTGAGTGGTGAGTGAGTTTGCGAGTGTTTTGTAAACACGAATGTTTTCTTTTCTCCTAATAAAATATATGCAGTAGTCCGGAGACGTAGGCATTATTGACCGAACTCCGTTATCAATTTGGTGTGTCTAATTTTTCTTTTTTATTTCACTTTTATTGATCCGACTTCATGAAAATTTCAGAGTATTTTTCCCAACAGGGTAGGGGTGAACCACTGTGGTCCACTAACCCTTACACTGCTCTGCACATCAACAGGATAGAAGCACGGCGCAAACATCTCGTCTCTGTAATTGAAGATGCCAACATAATAATTATAATTGTCAACATGATGGCAACCTTTGCGCCACCTCGGGGGTTCTGTGTAGTAAATGGAATCGGGCTTCAGCTCAGGGAAGTCGGCAGCTGGGAGCCCAAACCCGTTATTAGAGCCAAGGAAAAGGGTCAGCCCATCCAGAGAGCGGTCTATGTAAACCAGGGAGCCAGTCTTCGGGTCGTATCTGTGAACATCGAAACCAACTGTCATGTACGGAGGATCCGTGTAGATCCCTGTCTTGGGCCCATAATACTCATCCTTGGTGTAGTAGCCATCGGCCCCAACCCAGTCCTTGGTAAACCGTCTCACATGAAAAAGCTGGCCCGTTGGCTCGGCAACTGCTAGTAATATGGCGTCCCATATTGGGAGATGATCTTTTTGTTTGTGCTCTTGCTCTGATCTGTAGGCAGTGGGGTAGTTGTTCTTATCAAAAGACAAAGGCATAAGAATCATCCTTGGAGAATGAGGGTCTTTGAGGTCCCAAGCCTCCAGACGAGGATCCTTATTCTCGTGGATACCTTGATAATATCCATCTCTGAAACAGAAAAAGAGCTTTTGTTTGGCGGAGTAAACACATGAATCGTAGTCTGTCTTATCGCCTAGCACAGTCCACTCCAAACTGCTGCTGTTGGGGCAGCAGAAAGCCAGTCTTTGGCGGGGGCTGAAAGTGACGAGCGCACGGCATTCGTCGTCGTCATCGGGGCTGGAGCTGGAGATGATGATGTCATGCAGGGACCTGAAGCCACGGTCCAAGTGCCTTTTAGGGATATCTGACAATGTGCAGATGGATGGAAGCATTACGTGGCGGCCGTAAAGGGGATTGGAGAGGATAAGGTCGCAACTTTCCTTGTGGAACAAGAAAAGCCAGCCGTGGGATGATCCAAGGATGCTATAATCGTTGTCTGCCCAAAATTCTCGGTCTCCGGCCCTTTGAAGAGTCATCACTCGGTTCTCGCCAAGGACGTAAAACTGATAAATCAGCTCACCCTCACCGGTGAAGGTTGGCGGCAGCATAAGCCAGGGAGAGGTTTTTGATAGCCACGGCGCGGTTTTTGGCGGAACACTTGTATGGATACTACTACTACTCATCGTTTTCATCATAGCACCATGATTGATTGATGATAAGGTTTCACTCAGTGATATTCTGCTGGAAAGAGAATTTTAAGATCTGACACTCAACAGGCTAGACAAAAAACTGAACAATGTTGAAGCATGCTTCATCGTTTTCCGACAGATCAAAGCAGAAGATAGGGCGGTAGAAGAGAAAGCTGTCTGAACAATGGAGAACGCCATCAGACTATCGTCTTTATGTGTTTGGCCGACTAATAGATTAGTCTAGAAAGATTTTAAAGAGTTTGAGTCAGTAAGTCTTAGGGTGTGTTTGGTTCAATGGAGGGGAAGGGAGGGGAGGGATTTTAATGGAGAGAAAGGGAGGGGAGGGGATGTAAAATAATTTTACCTTGTTTGGAGGAATAATTTAGGAGGGGAAATGAATGAAAATGGTAAACCTTGTTTGGTTAAAAAATTAAAAGAAGGGGAAATAAAATTAAAATGACAAACTTACCCTTAATGAAGTAAGATAAAAAATTAAAAGCAATTGAAAGTATGGACTAAATGGTCATTTAACATCATCATATAACACTTCCCCTCAAAATCCCTCCAATTTTGGAGGGGACAAAAAGTGAGGGAGGGGAGGAAAAATTACTTAAAATTTTCCTCTCCCTCCCCTCTTAATTTTGCAACTAAACAAGTGAAAATTAAAATTCTCCCTCCCCTCCCCTCCCTTCCAAATACCTCAAACCAAACAATACCTTAAAGTAGGGATCTAAAATTTAGCAGTTATATCGAAAATCTCAACATAATCTTTAACATAAATCAATCAAAACCATGCATTTATTTGTAAAATTTTTGATAAATATAATGGTTACGCTTTATAACTTACTTGTGCGGGGCACGGGAAAACAATTTTACCATTGAATTATAAGTTAAAAATATAAATAACATTAATCATGATTTATCCATGATTTATCCATTATTTTTAAATTATATCAGGTTGGACACAGTCCGACCGGATGAGCCGAGAACCTATTTATAAACAATATAGTTCGCTTGAATAAAATATTTGCTATCGAATCCGTCAACACCAGTCGGTTGGACTGGTAGGATCAATATGATTTTCTAAATAAATTTTGTTACATTTAAAATTATTTTAAATAAATTACATATTTAAATAAAATAGAGATTAATAAATTATTTATCAATTAGTTTAAACATTTGAATTTATTATTTTTTTGGATATTTAAGTAATACATTTTATTAAATTTATTACAAAAAGTAGTATATATATATATATATATAGGATAAAATACTTTTTCCCCTCCGAACTATCACGGTTTTGGCGCATCACCATATAAACTATTTTTTTTTTACAAACCACCATATGAACTATTCGGATTTGTCAATGTGCCCCCTAAACCAGATATAAAGTGGTTTTGACTGAAAAAGTTGTTTGGTCACCATATGTGCCCCCTAAATACTTTTACAAACCACCATATGAACTATCACGAGTTTGTCAATGTGCCCCCTAAACCACTTTTATATTCGGTTTAGGGGGCATATTGACAAACTCGTATAGTTCATATGGTGATTTATAAAAAAAAAAATAGTTTATATGGTAATGCGCCAAAACCGTGATAGATGGGAAAAAGTATTTTATCCATATATATATATATAGATGTAAATGTTTATAAATTAAAATCTAAACAAACCACAAATGATTTAATAATAAAAAAAAGGAAGTTCCTTGAGTTTGTTACAAAGAAAATGAGCATATACAATTTTTTTCTCTTAATTGATGTTTACACTACAGTGTACTTGCAAATGTAAACTCTGCTTAATGTTCACACTACACAATCAGCTTAGTTCGCACAAAGTTCTCTTCAAATACATTGGCACTGGAAGATTTAAAAGGTTGTCTGCGTGAAAGGTGTCTCTGTAATGACAATGAATGGGGCTACACTTATAAAAACTTTGCAAATCATGAATACTGAATAGTTTTGCACATCATTGTCACCTGCAACAGTAATATAATTTAATTAATTTGGAGTATTGACTTGATCTGTCACATGGCTTCACTTGCTTGAGCAGCTTCAGTGGTCTCCTTCCTTGTCCATTTTGGTAGCAATCTGTGTTGGTTAGGTTGTTTGTAAGTAACTCAGCTGAAGTTTTGAAGACTTGTCTATTGGTTCGTACAAGGATTTGAGTTTATGTGTTCCGTCTTTCTCAATTCATTTTTTGTTTAGGTACACATTGAAATGTCTTTAATCAGACAGATAATAACCAAAATGATCATTTGACTTCATAATGAAGTTGTGGTTCGCATAACTTGCCAAGTGAAGATATTATGTCCACATCACAACTCCACGTTGAAGTTGTTAAAAATAGGTTTTGTCCAGAAAAGTGACAAGGGCTGTTGCTGGAACTTTGGAGTTGAGAAAGCAAGAACAGTTGGACCCTTAAGTTATAACCTCTTTCCAGAAATCTCTGCCGAGCAACCTAGGGTTACCAATTAGTGGCAGAGATTTCAATATCCTGCTTCGAAGAGCTAGAAACATGACGACCGTTGTCCCCACGTCCGAGGAAGATCCCGCGCTCTCAGTTGTCCGGTTCACCGCTGACTTGTCGTGGGCAGATGCCGGTCCTGAGGTCGCAGAGGGACGGGTAAATAGATTGTGCGTTGGGGCATAAGAATGTATGATGTGGTTGGATTTGGCTTCCTTGATGCTTACTTCTGCTGATGTAATTTTTCCTAAAGCCTCTGAGAAAGATCTTGAATGGGTTTACACTGTGATCTGCAACCTTGTTATGAAGCCTGAGAGGCTCGATCAAGTGCATGAGATGGCAGAGTTATGGCCATAAAGGTTACCCAACAGCCTAATGACAAACCTGCACTGCGCTTAAAGATCTTGTTTAACCTCTACAACCTATTGGACAACCCATACAGCCAGTTTTTCGTTAATATGAAGGCCCTCAACTTGGCAATTAGTGGAAAGGTCACCGAATATGTCTTACCATCGTTTGGAAAGATGGAAAACTTTTTGAAGGAGTGGAATCTTGGAGTTAAGGATAGGAGGGATCTCTTCCTTGCTGTTTCAAATCTATTGAAGGATAGCAAGGGCTCTGCAAAAGACTCCTTTGATTTTCTTGTCAAGTATCTTGAGACTTTTTCGGGTGATGATGTGTTGGCTGTGGATGAAGGTAAGGAAGAAGCTGTCCGAGCTGTTATTGAATTTGTGAAAGCACCTGACATGTTTCAGGGTGACTTACTAGATATGCCTGCTATAGCACAATTGGAGAGAGATGCAAAATATGCTCCGATATATCAACTTTTGAAAATCTTCCTTACCAAGAGGCTGGAAGCCTATTTGGATTTCTATTCATCAAATTCTAGCATATTGGGCAGCTATGGTCTTGTGCATGAAGATTTGCTGGTTTCTAAAATGAAATTGATATCCCTGGTGGACCTTGGAAAAAATGAATCTGGTCAAATTTCTTACTCCTTAATTAAGGAAACTCTCCATATTGAATGAAGATGATGAAGTAGAGCCATGGATCATCAAGGCAATATCAGCTAAGTTAATACACTGCAGAATTGATCAAACCAACCATGTAGTGATTGTGAGCGGCTGCACAGAGCGTGTTTTTGGGCTTCATGAATGGCAATTCCTTCGGTCAATCAACGCTTGCAGCATGGAGGGGCAACATGTAATTAGTACCATTCAAGCGAGCAAGATAACTGAAGACAGCACCCAAGCAGTTGCTTGAGCAGGTTGAAGCTACTTTTTGTTGCGACCATTTTCAATTTTAATCTTGCCAGCACCCGCAAGTTGAAATTTTGCTGCTACCTACAGGTTCTACCTATTAGTGAAATCTGTGACGACAGAGTTGCTTGTGTTCAGAGTTAGATTGCAATTGTTGTTTTTGTTGGCCAAACCCGAACATAATTTTCTGGCCAGATTTTGTTTCCCGAGTACCATGAGCTGTTTTGACCTTGCCTTTTCGTTGCTTGAATGTATTATGGACTTTAAGATAGGAAATCTTGGTTTGCATCTAATTTCCAGTTTTCACTTGAAAATGGAGTTGGACTTGTCGAGCGGTGGTTATGGTGCTCCTGGGGGAGTGATTGAGTGATAATATCGGTTGCTATCACTTTAGATTTTGGTAATAAGATTTGAACTAAATTCGACAACACCTTTAAGGTGGACGGATGAATTTTAGATAACTTGAAGACTACCCAATTTGGGCATTTGTTCCTTGCAAAACTTTATTGTTTATGTTTGAAGAATGGATTTTGCTGCATGTTTAAAAAAACAAAAAGTTTATGTTTGAAGAATGGATCTTCTAGAGAAAAATAGAAGTGCAGTAGGAACAAACAAACTAAACATTACTATTTTTCATGAGAGCAGCAAGCAAAACACAAAATTAATTCATATCATGTGCAGAAAATAAAATATAACCCTGATAATAGTGGTTGGTTGGGAAATCTAACAAGGCAAGAATGGAGTGAACCACTTTGGTCCACAAGTTGTTTTGGTGCTCTGCACGTCAGTAGGGTAAAAACATGGCGAGGGACAAAAGTCCTTGAGTTTGTAATCGAAGATACCTACATCATGGCCACCGCACATGAGGTTGATATGTATCCACTGTGGCGGCTCCGTGTAATAAACGGAGTCTGGCTTCAGTCCAGGGTGCTCGGCAGCCGGGAGTGCAAACCCATTGTTGGTACCAACGAAGAATGCTAGGCCGTCTAGGGAGCCATCCATGTAAACCAGGGAGCTCGTCTCTGGGTCGTACTTGTGAACATCAAAACCCATGGAGACATAGGGAGGAGGATCCTTAAGCATACCCACCTTGGGGCCGTAATAGGAATCTACGGCGTAGTAATCCTTAGGACCCATCCAATCCTTCACGAACCGCCTCACATGAAAAAGCTGTCCCGACGCCTCTGCAACTACTAGGAATTGGTAATCACGGCACGAATATCTTTTGTACTCGTATTCCTCGTTGGAGCTGTGGGCTACGGGGTAACACTTTTTGTCCACACAAACCGGCATGGGAATCATGGCCGGGGAAATTGGGTCCTGAAGATCCCATGCCTCCAGATGAGGATAAAGCTCATCATCATCATCATCATTTTCTTCATCTTCATCTTCATCCTCATCTTCCTCCTCATCACCATCTTCCTCATCATCTTCCTCACCACCATCACCATCTTCCTCATCATCATCACCATCTTCCTCATCATCAACATCATCATCTTCCTCATTATCATCACCATCTTCCTCATCATCATCACCATCATCATGACTACTACTTTTGCTAGCAAAACAAAAGAAGCGCTTTTGTGAAGTGGAGTAGGCAACGGACGTGTAGCCGGTGCGTTTGCCGAGTTGCGTCCACTCGGCCCTCGCGCGGCTGTTGGGGCAGCAAAAGGCCAAACTGTTTTCATAGCCGAGAATAGCTACAGCGCGACAGCTGTCGTCCTCATCGGGATGGGGCCCGGAGAGGACGAGGCTTGTTACAGAGGAATATTCGGGAAGGGGCGGGAGATTTATGCGGCTTTGAGTGAGTGGATTATAGAGAAAGAGGCCGACGCCGCTTTTGGAATGGTCAAACATGGATAGCCAGCCGTGTGACGAACCCACAATCGACAAGTTAGAAACAGATGATGGTGGTATTATCTCTTCTTCGTCTCTCCTGCTAATCACTTGGTTCTCGGCCATCTTGTAAAACCGAAAAACAAGATTCTTTTTGTTATTGTTGTCGAGGGCTGGTGGTAGCATGAGCAATGGCGCCGCCGCCTTTGGGTTACTACTGCTGCTACAATTAGTAGCAGTCATCGCAGCACAATATGTACGACGCAACATATTCAGATGATGATGGCGTGATGGAGTCCGCCGGTTGATAAACGACAAAGTTTTGGTGGTGGTGGCGGCGGTGGTAGGAGAACAAAGGGCTGCACGTACGGAGAAAGCCATTAGAGAGGCGGTTAGATTAATTTGATTGTCTACTAAAAAAACACACACATGGAATATACATATATATATATATATATATAGGACAATGCTACCATATACATGTAATCTACGAACCATGGTAGCATTCTCCATATATATATATATATGATGTTATATCGCCCTAGTTATACTGCTCTACTTAAGAATTATTATTATTATTGTTATTATTATTATTGGCTACGAAAAAAAGGGAAGGGGAAATGATTATAATTATTATTATTATTATTATTATTATTGTTTGCCAAGTAGAGCACACTTTGTGTACGTTTCTTGAATTTACAAAATGCTGAATACCTAAAATGGTACGTAATACTCAAAAAATTGGATTTATTTTTTTTTTTTTTGGGCACAAAAATTGGATCTAATTCATCACAACTGTCAAATACCAGATTTGAATAAAATCTGACATTGGATGATGGACTCTCGATGACTCGATCTGTAGAATCCAATGAGAGTATGACTGACGTCAATCAACTAATAGTTGGACTCTCGATATCTGAAAGTCCAACAAAAGTATGACTTTGCAAACTTCTTTTGACTTTTAACCATTTAAACACACTGTACGACTATCTTGTAATAAATTCATTATTCAATTGTTTTTAAAGAATGTCTATATTAAATCAATAAATATATAAATTACCTAAACCGTTTAATTATGTGAAGAACAATATTTGGATATTTAAATATTTATTAAAAATCCTTTCAGATTTTAAAGATTTTTCTATATATGTTTATTGTTTTTAGAAGCTTACCATGATAAAAAAGGTATGGCAGAATAGTACAGAAGAATCAATACATATAATTAAGGAGAGTGAATATTAATAATAGAATTGAAATATATTATGGGTAAAATTTAACTTAAAGATTATTGGTAAAAAGTTCAAATTTATTTCAACATTGGATTTGATATCTTTATTTAATATGAAATTGATTGATAAAATATTTGATATATATATATACCTCCCCCTTACATATAAGCAAAAATGTAAGGGGTTTAGAGCTTGACACGTGTCCTTTTTTGGACGAAAATGCCCTCACTCTTGGGTACTTTATGAGGGATATAATTGTCATTACAATAGCCATTTTTTCAGGCTTCTACACGTTCTCTCTCCCTCGAAGACCGAAAAAGAAGTCTTATTTCAATCTTGCGCACGTCTTCCACTGTTCTTCCAAGGACGATAAGACAGAAAGTAAAGAAGAGAGGGTTCATTCTTCTTCATTTTTCAATCCGAATTAAGGGAGACAATTTTTGTGACTTTCATCTACATAGGAGGTATGTTATTTTTTTTTTTTTATCTTTTTCCTTCGATTTTTTTCCGATTCAATTGTCGATCTGTGCGTGTTTTCAGCATTTTTTTGATAACTTTTTTACGATATCACTTTTTCTTTCTTTTTTTTTGGTTTTTGCTTCTTCGTTAAATTCACCCCGAACATACACACACAAATTCAGATCCAAATTTTACTATCTAAAATTCTATTTCTTATGTGTTTTTGACCATGAGCAGGGCTCCAAGAGGAGGGTCCGATTTGGCCATTCTATTCAGCGACGATGCCTGGTCGGGCCTGTTTGCGTGGAGAGGACTTTCAAGAGTCGCCGATGGAAGAAATGGAGCTGCAGCTGACGAGTTTTTTTCCCAGAAAAAATCCACTGTTGCCGATTACATCGAACACGACGGCAAGTCGAGGAAAAGAAGATTTGGTAAGGGACAACAACTCGCATAAGAGACTTACGTATATGGAGGACACGATTGTGGTAGAGTTGGGCTTTATACAACAAGGCCGGGCAAAATCACGTTCTTTCGTCTCTAAAAAAACGTATATTTTTGTCCTTTTTTTTCTATTTTCAATTGGTGTAATTAGTAATGTTACTTGAAATTGATGTAATTGTTGATTTAAATTGGAATTACTATCTTGAAAGAATAATTATTTGTTTGGGTTAAAAGAAAGGAAATTTTTGGATTGTGTTGTTTATATGAAGAACTCCTCTGGAAGGATAAAAGTTTTGGATTGTAATTGCTATTTCGGATTGGAGTTACATTGGGTTTTGAATTATGATCTCGATTAATTAATGCGTTTAAATGAGCCTAAGAAGTATGGACTTGGAGTGATTAAGGTGTAGCCTGTAATAAGCAAATCATTATTTAGTTCAATCCATTCTTTTCATATTCTCCAATCGATATTTAAATCCAGCACTATGCCTACAACTCTTGTTCCTGCCCACGGTGAGCTCGACGAGCTTTTCGCCTTCACCGTCGTCACGTACCCGACTCTGGTGAAGTTTTTTATCAACACTGGCATGAATTTCCCAGCGCTGCCTAGGTAAGTTTGTGATTCTAAATGTATTTTCGTTTTATGATTTTGATTCTAAGCGTTTACTGTTTTTCCCTTCAGTGATTGAGAAGATGTTGGCAGTGGGTTTAGCGAGTGCATCACATGGTCCATCATAAGTTATTAGAAAACCACGTCGCTCTGGTTCAAGAAAATTGGATATATGATAAGGTAATAAAAAACTT